GCAAATGGACCACATCCCGTTTGGCTGAAACTTCACAACGTCAGTGTGATTCAAGCACAACCAAAGACATCAAATCAGGAGACATCTAGAGAATAGCTGCAAGTCCTTATAGAAGAACCTCATCATGCACCTTTGCATTAAATGCATTTTCACATATATTGATGAGACAGATGCAGTACACACATAAAATTGATACAGTATTTACCCAGAATTTAAAATTCTGTCATCATTTCTTCCCTCTTTCTGCACAGCGCAAAATGATAAATATATGTTGTAAACCAGTGAAGCTCAATTAAATATTTTTTTTATTTATTTAAAATAGTTTCAGCCTTCGGATAACAAAATTTCAGGGGCAAGAAACATTCTACGTTTTATTCTACTTTTAGGCTAAATGCAAATGTAGATGAAATCTCCTACTGGGCATCAAAACTAGATTTATAATGTTTTAATATGTTTAATTCTTTCTATATATTGTAATATTGCAATTTTTTTGGAACATTGTAAAATTCCTTGCTGATTTTTATTTAAATGTGACATATGTGAATGTACATTCTTAAACTGAAATATATATATGGAGGGCAAAATATATTTTTAAATTAATTTATTTCTAGATTAATACCTATATTTTGATATATGTTTTTAATGCATTAATGTGTTTTCAAAAATATACAAAAATGGCCAAAAATATATTGGTAGAAAATACACTCTTAAAAATAAAGGTTCTTTCCTGGCATTGACGGTTAACATGCATCCATAGAACATTTCCATTAGACAAAAAGGTTATTATAGAGGAAAAGGGTTCTTTAGATTAATAAAATGTTCTTCAAACTGTTTTTTTTAGTACTGTTCACTGAGAGATTCTTTGAGGAACCTGAAATGGTTCTTCACTCTTAATAAAGGTTCAAAACGTGGGATTTTGCAGCAATAAGAACCATTTTTGGTTCCCCAAAGAACCTTTGAGTGAACAGGTCTTTAAAAACATTATATTCTTAGTGTGAAGAACATTTAATTAATCTAAAGAACCCTTTTCCACTAAAGAGCCTTTTGTCCAATGGAAACATTCTATGGATGTTAAAGGTTCTTCATGGAACCATCGATGCCGATAAAGAACCTATATTTTAAAATATACAGAAATGGATTTGCTAAAATATTTCCAAATATATTAATGTAAATATGGTATATTTGTAGCAATAGCCAACAATACATTGAGATAGTCACCACTGATAAGCTATTACTAAATATAATCTAGAAACTTCAATTTTCTGTAAAGCTGCTTTGCAACTATTTGCATCGTGAAAAGCGCTATACAAATAAATATAATTGAATTGAATTATATGGGTCAAAATTATCCATTTTTGTTTTATGCCAAAAATCATTAGGATATTAAGTAAAGATCATGTTCCATGAAGATATTTTGTAAATTTCCTACCGTAAATATATCAAAACTTAATTTTTGATTAGTAATATGCATTGCTAAGAACTTCATTTGAACAACTTTAAAGATGATTTTCTCAATATTTAGATTTTTTTGCACCCTCAGATTCTAGATTTTCAAATAGTTGTATCTCAGCCAAATATTGTCCGATCCTAACAAACCATACCTCAATGGAAAGATTATTTATTCAGTTTTCATGGTGTAAAATCTCAAAATGTGTGAGTTGATCAGTAATTTGATTTTGCATACTGAACTGAACTGGAGATGTTATGAATGTTTTAAAACCTAACAGCTGCTTTTCCAGTAAAGATCCAGAGTGATTGCAGTGTATTGTGAGTATGCAGCGTCCTGCCTAGTGTTTGAGGGCAAGATCCTGAGAGAAAGCGTGAGAACACGGCCTGCCAAACGCTCCACGAGGATCTGTAAAGCAGAAGATGTACGGCATCTGAACAGACAGATCTGCTGCGTGTTTGCGGCCGCGTGAAGGATTATGAGCTGAACTGATTCCTTCTGAACGTCACAATCTGGGTTTTGTGGTACTTTTGAGGCTTGGCAGACATCTGCCTTAAGTGCGGCTACAAATGCGCTCCCATTGCAGAGGAAATACTTGTCAGATGATGTAAATAGAGTCGCAGTTATGACTCAATCATACTGTAACTCTGCAGGAAGCTGAAGTTATTCCTGGGAGAGTATAATCCGTCCAGGAGCATCAGGACGCTGTGCTTTTCCTCACAGAAGAGCCTAAAACAGGCCGTAATTCACAGCAGGCGCGCTTTAGGACATCTGTCATAAGATGCAAAGAAGTGAAATGAAAAAAGCAAATACTAACTTTGTTAGGTCAGCGTGTGTGATGGTGAAAATATTTCTATAAAACTGCGAAATTGCTCAAAGTGTAATTTAAGGAGCAATTTGTCCCTGCAACAAGACGAGCTTGTCACCGCGAACAGAATCTGTTTTGTTGTCCTCTTAAAAGAAGATGAATAGACGTGGAGCGCGGCGTCTGTGTGCTAAACCTTGACTGCTGCGACTCTCTGGACGTCTGTGTCATAATTTCACGGCTTCTTATTAAGTGCAAAGTTTTTGTGTCCTTGTGCGACTAAGATGAGTTTGTGTGCGTGTAAATCAGCTTTGAGATGCCCACAGTCTTTATAGAAAAGACCAAAGACGTCATTCAGTGCATCTGCGCTCCCTACACAGTGGTATCATTGATAATGTACTTTTTGTTGAAGGAAATTAAATGAAAATTTGCTGAAATGTGCTCATCCTCAGGCCATCCAAGATTAGGATGAGTGTGTTTCTTCATCAGGTTTGTAGAAATGTAGCATTGCATCAGTGTCTCAGCAATGGATGCTCTGCAGTGAATGGGTGCCGTCAGAATGAGAGTCCAAACAGCTGATAAAAACATCACAATAATCCACAAGTAATCCACACCACTCCAGTCCATCAGTTAACATCTGGAGAAGACAAAAGCTGAAACAAATCCAGCATTAAGACGCTTTTAACTAAAAGTCCATATAATCCATAATAACTGTTCCTCCAGTGAAAAGGTGTTCTGGTCTGAATCAGGAGAGAAATCTGCACAGATCAAGCAGCGTTTAAACAGCTCTAAACAAATATGTGGCTGGATTTTGATGCGAGAGACAACAGCAGATGCACTTTTTCACTGGAGGAAGCGTTATTATGGATTATGGACTCTATGGTATTTGAGTTAAAAAGGTCTTAATGCTGGATGTGTTTCAGTTTTTGTCTTCTCCAGATGTTAACTGATGGACTGGAGTGCTGTGGATTACTTGTGGATTATTGTGATGTTTTTATCAGCTGTTTGGACTCTCATTCTGACGGCACCCATTCACTGCAGAGCATCCATTGCTGAGACACTGATGCAATGCTACATTTCTCAGAATCTGATGAAGAAACAAACTCTCAGATCTATATCTTGGATGGTTTGAGGCTGAGCACATTTTCAGCAGATTTTCATTTATGGGTGAACCGTTCCTTTAAAAACAGAAAAGCATTCTAGCTTGTGGTAACTAAAAACACTTTCCAGAACAGGAACCATATGGAAACATTAAGAGAACATTCTCCGTCTGCTGGGAAACGCTGCTTGTGAATATTTTCTAAATCTATAAACCCAGTCTCATTTTAATTGTTTAATGTTTAATTTAATTTACAACACTTTGTTAATGAATGCTGCAGCATACTTTAGTTTTTACTACTAGTGTATTGTAGTATAATATACCCTATAGTTGTAGAAAACTTATTACAGTATTGGGTAAAGTAATTTGTTTATATTACTATAGTTGTTATGTGTTAGAAAACACTCTCTGTATTTATTGGTTCCAGATGTTTTCACCCTCCTTTTCTTCCCTCTCCCTCTCTGCTCGCCCTCCCTGTACAGAGCAATGTTGTCTTCTTCTGATTCCCCCCTCCTCCATCTGATCTCTCTCTCTTGTATTATGTTTTAATATCTCTTACTCATATTCGAGGTACGCATGCGCACATGTATGCATTAGCTTTCTGAGTTCAAATGTTCAGACGAGGACACGATATCTCCTTTTCTTCCCTCTCCCTCTCTGCTCGCCCTCCCTGTACAGAGCAATGTTGTCTTCTTCTGATTCCCCCCTCCTCCATCTGATCTCTCTCTCTTGTATTATGTTTTAATATCTCTTACTCATATTCGAGGTACGCATGCGCACATGTATGCATTAGCTTTCTGAGTTCAAATGTTCAGACGAGGACGATATTTAGGACTCCAAGGTAATGGGGTTCGTACTGAACTATGGATATAGTTCAGCATCCTTTGCCAAGTTTATTCCTAATATGTCCATATTTTCCTGTACATGTGGCCATTTTATATAACACATATTCTTGGCCAAAATCCTATATGTATGTCATCTATATCCTCATTGGTTAAAGGGTTGAAACTCCCCTCGACATATGCCTATATAATATCCTTGTATCTATAATAAAGTTGAAGTATTGAGAATACAATTTGATGTGTGTTTTCTTGCTTCCCGGCCGTATACACTTTGAGGGACTGAGAACTTTCTAGGTGGCAAAGAGAACATAGAGGGACCTTTGTTAATTGCTAACATTATGTTACCATAGTAACTGTAGAATTACCACAACAAATTAATTCAAGTACTTTACTATAGTATGGTTCAAAAACACTATAAATTACTACAGTATTGATTTCATGTGGGTTAGGCTCATGGTTAGTCTGATTATTAGCCTACATCCCGCACTGATCAATCAATCAATCAATCATGCACACATGAAACACTACACATGCAACTGATTTTCCTTTAATATCTTATACACAACTTATTTTTATTGATAACTTTGATATTGATGTTGATATTGATATTTGAATTGATAAGTTCTTCCTTCAGTATGCAGCAGTATGCTTGACTTTAGTTTACTGCATTCATATAACTAACAGCATGTGCTGCACTATAACAGATATTTCAGAAGAGTAACCCGCGTGTGATGTTTAACAGGAGGGTTTTGTTTAGCATTTCGCGCAGGCGGATCATCAGGCAGCCTCCTGTAGGGGTCCTTCAGAACCCGGAAGCACGCCTGTGTTTACTGTTTACAGCCGAGTGGAAGAACACGTGTGCGACTGCAGAGTCTTGAGTGTGTGTGTGTGTGTGTGTGAGCAGCTGTGAAATAAACACCATGAGAGTTGCTGCGCTGATCAGGTAACGTGACGCGACTGTGTTTATAACGACGCTTGAATGCGACAGTTGTGCAGATATTGGAGCTGGTCAGTGATTGTGTGTGTGTTTCAGCGGCGGTAAGGACAGCTGTTATAACATGCTGCAGTGTGTGTCTGCTGGTCACTCTATCGTGGCTCTCGCGAACCTCATGCCTCACACACATGGTGAGATCATCTAACACACAATAATAACACATGCGAGCTGTTATTTCTGTTGTGTCCTGCAGTATGACACTTCATCAAAACTAGCTAAAATCTCCTAAGACACAGCAAAGCGATTACTTTAAAAACAATATTAGTTTTTGCTCAGGTAAAAAGATTTCTATTTCAAATAAATGCTGTTCTTTTTAACTTTCTATTCATCTGTGAATCCTGAAAAATAAAATGTACCACGGTTTCCACAAAAATATTGTGCAGCACAACTGTGTTCAACATTGATAATAATCAGAAATGTTTCTAATAATCAGCATATTAGAATGATTTCTGAAGATCATGTGACACTGAAGACTGGAGTAATGATGCTGAAAATACAGCTGCGCATCACAGAAATACATTACAGTTTAACAGATATTCACATAGAAAACAGCTGTTTTACTGTATGCCACAACTTTTTTTTCTCGCAATAAGAACATCCGTGTGACTTGTGTGAAGGCAATGTTTTCTCCAGTAACGCATGCGTGGTGTGTCAGTTCCAGATGAGCTGGACAGTTACATGTATCAGACGGTGGGTCATCAGGCCGTGGATCTGTACGCGGAGGCCATGGATGTTCCCCTGTACAGGCGCACTATTGAGGGCTCCAGTCTGCACACGGGCAGAGAATACAGCCAGACCGAAGGAGATGAGGTGGAGGATCTGTACCAGCTGCTCAAGCTTGTGAAGGTACGGCGGTGTCTCGCTCTGTGATTCCTGGAGGCACCGCTAGTGCTAGCACTCATACTGATCACACCTCTAGAGAACAGCGCTGCTGTAGTGTCCAGCACTAATCATAAAACCCCTTGCAGTGGGTGCAGTACTGTATGTGACCGTCCTGTTGAAGGATGTTTTGAAGCACATTTGGCTGGAAAATTTCCATTTGTCCGAATAATTGGATTGTGTTATGCTTAACTAAAGGAATAGTTCACCCAAAAATGAACATTTACGTTTACATTGCATTTTAAAGATGTGAATGAGTTTTCCTCTTCGGTAGAACAGTAAAAAGGTTTTTGGCTGACGCTGCTTGGCGATTCGTAAAATGTGGCGACTGTCACTTTGAGAGTCAAAGGCAACACAAAATTAATCCCCCTGGCTCCTGACGATATATTGAGGTTTTATGAAGCGAAACGATCAGTCTGTGCATTATTGAAGAAACTGAACATTATTTACAGCATTATTACTGTAATCCAGAGCCTCAGACAAACGTTAAAATCTGATTATTTTCCACAAACAGGTTCTTTTGGACTGGTTCGGTTCACTCGTTCGTTTACGTAATCTAGGGCTGGGCGATAATGCAAAAAAATTAAAATCTCGTTTTTTTTTTCAGAATGGTTGACCGATCCTCGAAAAAATTTTTACGATTTTTTTAACTAGTCAACTTGAAAATGTAACTACAACTAGGGCTGGGTATTGTTCAAAAATTTTCGATATCGATACCTTGACTTCGATACCGGTTCCTGAACGATACTTTTTTCGATACCAATTTTATGAAATCAATTTTAACAAGATTACATTATCTAAAAAAAAAACTTTGGTTTTATTTTTCAGCTTGTTGATGTTTATACAAACTCAAAGACT